CACGCACGCACGCACGCACGCACGCACGCACGCACACACACACACTCACAACACACACACACACACAACACACATATGCACACACATTCCCAAACACATGAACATGAATAACACAAGGACACATATAACACATATAGTCCTAATCCCACTTAAAACAAGCAAGCACACAACTACAGACAAATAGAGGATAAGAATTAACTCCAGGAACAAAATATTGAAGGGGAAAGAAATATAATCAGAGAATTATATAAGGCTCAACTTTGAAATTTTTTCATATGGTTATGTTGATAAAAAAATACAACAGTGATTCAAATAGAACCAGATTATAACTAAACTGTGAGGGCAGGGGAAGAAACAGACACAGGGATGAGGGTTGTGGACAAGGAATACATCAGTATCTTATTTCCCAAACTGAAAAGGGCAAATAAGAACTAAATACACTGCCCTAAAACATGAAAATGAATTCTTTGGATATGAAATTCATTAAAAGAACTGAAAATTGGGCTGGTGATATAGCTCAATGGTAGAGCACTTGCCTAGCATGCACAAGGCTCCAGTTCCATCTCTGGTACCACAAAAAAAAAAAAAAAAAAAAAAAAAAAAAAAACACAACCAAAAGCAAAATCTAAAACAAACAACAGGAACAACAAAACTGAATTCAAAGTTCCCTTCTAAAAGCAGACAGAAATAGGAGCAAGAAGAGGAAATCCAGTTTTCATAAATGTTTATATAACATTTGATCTTTGACGAAAGAACAAATGTAAATAAACAAATGTAAATTTGTTAAGCAAGTTACACTGTTCTGTCAAGAGGGCTCCAACTTTGAAAACTATCAGTTAATGATGGACACATGTGCAGACAGGTTGGCATGGGTACAGGTGGACAGGAGCATCTTGGCAAAGCTGGAAGGGTATGGGCTGCTACCGTGGACCATCTCCACGTGGCTGCAGGACTGGTGGAGGCTTTCTTATTTCTGAATCTTGTGAATTATAGAAAGTAAAACTGGCAAGGTGAGGTATAAAACTTCACCTTTTGCCCTGTTTCACTCTAAAAACTTTCAATATTTAAAATTTTTGTTTATAGTGAAACCATTTTTTTTTTTTTTTAAGACAGAGGCTTGTTATATGGCTCAAGCTGTCCCTGAACTTATGACCTTTCTGTCCTAACATCCTGAGTTCTGGGATTACAGGTATGTGACAAATCAAATTAACAGCAAAATTGAAGGCATGTATCTCCGTGTGAGATGCTGCTTAGAAGAAGGGGGCCAGCATGCTTACACTGGGTAGCTGGCACGCTGAGGCTAACTTGGGCTCTTCACCCACAAAGGCCTGTCATCCAATTTAATATACCTGTGCATTTGAAACCAACATGATGGTTTCAGTATCGATACATCAACATACTAGCATAGATGTACCTGTGTGTTTGAAACATCTCTTCAATGACAGCTCATACCTTTCCCAAATAGACACAGATGTGAGTGTATGAGGCAGGAGTATACGAGGGATCCAGAAGGAACTGGTAAGATATGGTGGAGGTAGTGGCAGGAAACAAGGTGACCATAGAACATTTTCTCAGGTCACAATAGGTTAAGCAAAACAGACACTTGTTTGGATTCTGTCTCATCTGCTTGTAGGCAGGAGTGCTGTCCCTAGGCTAAAGGACCAAATACTCCACGAAAAGGCAAGTGCATGCCAGAATTTCATGAAGTCTCCAAGAACAAGGGGACATTTTTCCTGCCCTTACCTCTGGTTTCTGGGAGGGGGGGAGCAGTAATGGAAAGCATTTTCCCTTCAAAAACTGATACAACTGGTGAATCTGGGAAATTATCATAAAGCATACATTTCATTAAAGGTGTATTTAGAGGGCTGAGGACATAGCTCCGTGGTAAAGCACAGCCTCATTTGAACAGGATCCTAGGTTCCACCCTCAGTACCACACAGAAGGCAATATAGTTAAGAGACATTAAGAATGCCTTCGGGGAGTCAGGTGGGTGGAGAGATGGCTCAGTGATTAAGAGCACTTACTGCTTTTCCATGTTCTGGTGCCTGACACATGGCAGCTCACAACCATCTTTATTTAACTCTAGTTCCAGGAGATCGGATACCTTTTCCTGGACTCCATGCATGCATATGGTACATGTACATAAATGCAGACAAAATATCCATATCCATATAAAATACAAATGAATATATATATATATATATATATATATATTCTTCTGTATGAGGGAAGAAAACAGCATTGTACTTTATTAGCATCATATTGTTAGGGAAAATTCAGTATCTTAAATAAAATTAAAAAGGATGCCTTCAGTTATTTAGAGGTCTGGGGAAGTTTTCTAGAAGTAGAATAGTTCATTGGAAATTTCTTAGTTAACTATTTTAAAAGTGAGCTTTGCCATCATAATGTCTATCACTTGAAATGACCACTGAGTGGCAGCAAAGGCTACACTTTGAATAACAACTTGGTTGTGGGAGTGCACAAGGGAATGAAATGCTGAAATCCAACACATGCCTGTAGACATAGTCTGCAGGGAGGGTCAGGTCTCTTCTGCCTTCTGGGATGGACGGCAGGGATGAGGTACACCCTGGGAGGCTTCCATTCAGTAGTTTGTGCTAGATCCAACCTTTCTTGGCACCTAACTGATCAGTAAGAATTCTGCCCAATGCTTTGTTTCTGCATCTTACTGTGGTTTCCCTGAAGAAGGGGACTTCTCACTGTTGGAGCAAAAAGTCTGGTGACAGTCTAGGCAAAATCAGCATACAAGCAATTCAGAGAAAGCTGTCATATTCCCAGTAAAATCCTTACTGGGATTATGATCTCTGCTCCTTGTTTCATGTAACACGTTGAGTATTTTATTATTATTATTATTTTTAGTGATACATGCACGTGGAGAGTTTGTATACACATGTGTAGGTTCCCTGGAGGCCAGAAGTGAACCTCAGATCCTCTGGAGCAGGCATTTGCTAACTGTCTGACCTGGGTTCTGGGAACCAAACTCAGGTCCTCTGGAAGAGCAGCAAGCCCTCTTAACCCCTGAACCAAGTCTCCAGGCCCAAGTATTTTTAAAGGTGTATCATGATTCTCTATTTACACAGCAGTACACATTTTAAAAAAGCAAAAACTTATAAAAGCAGCTCAGAGTATCACCCACATTATCTCTTTGGCCTTTACATTCAAGTCTTGACAGTGACAACACCATTGGCTTTCTCCTGCCCCAAATCTAATTTCCTTGCTCATTAAAAAGGAAGTTTCAAATTTGGCAAGAATATTAACAACAGTTCAAATTGGGGTTATTGGTATTTTGGAGTTCTTTACTATTCTTGCAGTTTTTCTCTAAGTTTTAAGTTATCACAAAGTGAAAAGTTAAAACAGAAAACCGTAACTGTTCTGCAGTAGGGTGGCTCCCCATCTCTGTGTCTGTTGTGGCTGAAGTACATGGAGCTTGGGCAACAGGGTTGGTCTGATCAGTATGATTCTATAGCTTAACCTGGATTTTCAAAGTACCAAATTCAAGAAAAAAAGTTCTTGGGGATGGGGAGATGGATTGATGGGGAAAAGTGCTTGCTATACAGCATGGTGACCAGAGTTCAAATGCCCAGTGCCCATGTAACAGGCTTGATGTGGTTATAGATGTAATGTAAACCCAGTGCTATGGGGCTGGGAAGAAGTGGAGTCGGGAGGATCACTGGGTTTGCTGGCCACCAGCCTCCCTCCAGGCATTTAGTCCAAGACTGAACACTTGATATTCCCCTCTGTTCTCTAAACATGTAAATAAGTGTGCACTCACACGCATGCACATACACCACACACACACTCACACACAAAAATATTACATTCTTTTGTAACTAGATAACTGTGACAACCAGATGATGATTATTTTTAAGATAAAGTTATTATGTGCATACTTACTCTGTGAATTATACCAGCTGAATGCAGATGCTTAATGCCACAGAGCATCTGATAGAGAAGGTATGACATTCTCTCATGGTCCAGTTCCATGTGAATAACCTGGCATAAGTTTATATCCATTAATTCCATAACCAAGTACCTGAAAATTCAAAAGAGACCAACCATAATCATTAATATTATTTTTAAATCCCTTCATAATTGTTAGATCACACTGCTATGAGACAGTAGTAACGGGATATAATTACTGCACAGTTAGAATAAAAACACGATGTTATTCACTTTGTAAAATTTCCCAAAGAACACACAAACAACTAACTTATCCGATGTCTTTCTTTCAAATTATAAAAGAACAACTTTTATACCATGGAAATAATCTCATACAAACTATTCTACTTTTCTTTTTTATCTGTCTGTCTGTCTATCCATCCATCCACCTACCTACCTACCTATCTTCTGTTTAATCATCTTTCCATTATCTACACTGTGCTACTATAGATTCCTTGATCTTAGCAATACATGATTCTTGTACGGTTACTTATATGAAGGTTCTACTATATAGGGGGTAAATGGGAACTCTGAACTTTCTGCTCATGTTCATTATGTACCTGGACTGCTCGAAAAATGATAACTTTTTGTTTGTTTGTTTGGTTGTTTATTGAGACAGGGTTTCTCTCTGCAGCCCTGGCTGTTCTAGGACTTACTCTGTAGACCAGGCTGCCCTTGGACTCAGAGATCTGCCTGCCTCTGTCTCCCAAGTGTTCTCCGCCATTGCCTGTCTGAAATCTAGTCTTTAAGACCAAATATACAACAATAAACAAGCTCACTGTCCACCACCAGCACATGTTTTTGGCTCACTGTGAAAGCATAGCCCCCAACCAAGGAGGTGCTTAGACACATGATCTCTAATTCTCCTCCCATTGTTTGTGATGCCATTCTGACTCAACCTATGCCAATTCTCTGCTAAAACTGATGGCTTCTACATTTGCAGGGGCCCCAAGGCCAATGTTTCTGCACCTAACTACTTCTTCTCGTTGGAGTGGCTGTGATCAGATCCTGGCTCTCCTCTCACATCATTTTCTTGGTAATGTCCAGCCTGCCACGCCTTTAAGGACCACTTACAGATTTTGGATTCCTTTAATCCAGGCCTCTCTCCTGGACCCCAGGTCCTTTCCTGTCTACCTACTATACAGTTCCACTTGGACCAGCAACGGACATCTCTGAGTCCATGTCTAAAACTTTATACTCCTGATTCTACCTTCTCACTCCCCACCCCACCCCCACCCCGTCTAGTCCTCTTACAGCTCTCCTCACCGCAGTTTCAAGCCTTCATTTGTGGCTTCCCAATCCTCTCTCACATTTAGCTATCAGCAGATCCTATGCCTCCACCTTCAAACAGCTTTCGTGTCTAATCTCAAGCCTTCATCCTGTGATCCACTCGAACCTCTCACATGAATTGCTGTGATGCCTCTCCATACTAACTAGGCTTTTTTGTCCCTACCTCTCACTGTGGATTCTCAGCCACCCAAAAAGCAATTGTTCTTTTAAAACATGTCAAGTGAGACCACTGCTCTGCTGGAAATCTTATTCTGACTCCTTTCCTATCTGCATGCCACTTCCCTAAGCCCACCCTCTCTGCCCTGTCTCTTCCCCCACTGCAGCCACACAGGCCTCTTGTTGGTAGCAGCACACAGCAGCCATGCTCCTCTGCTACTCCTTTGCTCTGGCTATTCCTCCATTCTCAATTCCGCCTCATCCCAGTATCCGTAGGACAAATCCTCACCTCCCCTAAGCCTTTGTCCTAATGCCACCACCTCATCACAGCCTTTCCTGCATCTACCCTGTGATAGTGAATTATAGCAGGCAACTTAACTAGGTCAAGGGACACTGCTCTGGGAAAGCCTTATTTCTACTTTGAATGTGAAGTGTGTCTTGGAGGGTGTTGGGGGCAGTAACGATCATGTGAGTCTGAATACACCAAGTACAGAAGCATGGTGCTCAATGTATGTGAACACTATCCAACTGAGCAAGACCCAGGAAGATCAAATCTAGAGAATGAAGGAATTGCTTCTCTGAAAGCTGAGACAGACTTTTTCTATTGTATCAGAATCAAAATGCTAGACTCTCCCTGAGTTCTCAGGCTTTCAGCCTCAGACTAAAAACTGCACCATTGACATAGCCAGTAGCCCCTGGTTCTGTGGCCCTTGGACTTGGATTGAGTCTCACTGGCAGCATCCTAGTGTCTTGAGCTTGCAAATGGCCTACTGTTTCATAAGCATCAAAATCACTAACTTTCTAAATTTTCAATCTCATGCAAAAATACTTACACATCTTGAAATTCTTCTAGAGTTTTTTGTGGTGTGAACACATTTAACAAGCTAATTATCTGAAAGGAGAAAATTAACTTTAGTATGTCAGATGGATTATAAAAGTTAGGTTGAACATTGAAATGTATTAAAGGTGGGAAAAGGAAGGCAGAACTCAGTATTTATCATTACTATGGTTGTCACCAGAGCATTCTAGTAGATGGCATTGGAAAACTTAGCTATCAATTGAAAGATGTGCTCTTGATAGAATCACTCAGGTCCCCAGTAAGTTAATCATTACTACAGAACTTACAAATATGTAAAAGAGTGAAAATAACAGTTGGAAACACACTAAATAAAGTACCAAGCTAACTCTGGAAACTTAAATACTATATACAACTTTCTGGGAAGTTTTTAAGTATGAAGGCTGAACTTATACTTTATGGTCAAGAAGATCAGGCCTCATGGCCTCGCTCCTTGTAGCCTCCGCGCTTGCAAACCATGTGTTTCGAACTAGAGAAAGGTGAATTACTCATTAAATACACTGGGGCAAGGGAAGGGAAAGTAAGCTGCAGCCACATTCAGTCTTAGGAAACAAAATGGAACAGAGTCTAAAACACTAAAGAATAAAGCAAAGAATATGAGCAAACATTTCTACTGTCCAGGTGTAATAAATAAAGCCTTTTCTAAGCAGGAAACTTAGGATTCTAACTACATTAAAAAAAAAAAAACTAAAATTAAACAAACAAACAAACAAATCAACATGAAGTCAAATGAAAAAGTGGGGGAAAGGAACAGCTGAAGCTGGGCATGGGTGGCATGTCACATGTAATTTTAGCAGACATTCACCCATGCCCAGCTTCAACTGTTTTCTTCCCATTTTTCCCATTTGAGGCAGGAGTTTGTAAGTTTGAGTACAACTACAGAGTTCAAGGCTACCCTGGGCTACACAACAAAATCCAAGAATGAAAAAAAGGTTAATAACTTTAATGTATAAAACCTCCTATAATGAATTTTTAAAACAACAGTTTCAGAGAAAAATAGAGCCACCACCATGAAAAAGCAAATTTTCAATGAAATAAAAATAGTTGGGGCTTGTGAGATGGTTCAGTGAAGACTCAAGTTCAGACTCCCAGCACCCACATAAATGTCAATGGGAATGGTGGCCCACTATAATCTCAGAGCTTGGAAGATGGAGCCCTGGAGCAAGTTGGTTAGCCAGACTAGCAAATTAGCAAGCTCTAGGTTCAAGTGAGACATCTTGCCTCATTCATTAAAGGCATACGCCACCACCGCCCAAATAAGATTATTTGATGTGTCAGATTGACAAAAAAACAAAACAAAACCAGTACTACACAGTGCTGGGGGAATCTGAAGTAAAAACATGCTCTCAGAAGCTTTTCACCAAAGTATAAACTGACAGTCTTCCTTGTCATCAGTCTGTCAGCATGTATAAAAACCGGAATTGAGCTGGGTGTTGGTGACGCATGCCTTTAATTCCAGCACTTAGGAGGCAGAAGCAGGAGGATCTATGCCAGTTTGAGGCCAGCCTGGTCTACAGAGTTCCAGGACAGGCTCCAAAGCTATGCAGAGAAACCCTGGCTCATAAAACCAAAACAAAACAAAACAAAAACAAAAAACAAAAAAAAACAAAAACAAAAAACAAAAAAAACAACAAATAAACAAAAAACAAGAATTGTATGGATTGTTTGACCAACAATCCTGGCCATGAACTTGCATGGCTTCTAACAGAAAAAGAAAACCTAGAAATAATCTACCCAACAACATGATTTGCTTAGTTTGCTCCCTATGGCTTTTATAAAACATTGTAACCAAGCCTGGGAAAGAGAGGGTTTATTTCAACTTACAGTTTATGATCTATCATGAATGGAAATCAGGGCAAGAACTCAAGGAAGGAACCTGGAGGCAGGAACTGAAGCTGTGGCCCTGGAGGGACACAGCTTATTGGCTTGTTTGACTTGCTTTTTAAAATACAGTCCAGAAGCACTGGACCCTCCCACATCAATCATTAATCAAGAAATGGCTCACAGACTTGCCTAAAGGCCAATCTGATGATGACATATTCTCAGTTGAGGTTCCCTTTTCCCAGATGATGCTAGCTTGTGTCAAGGTGACAAAAATACCAACAGCACAATTTGTTAACCAAATCATTATATATCTGTATATGCAACCACTTAAAAATGCATTACAGCTGTGCCCATTAAAGTGTATGAAATCTACCAACATTACAGGGGTGGACAGGAAGAATAGTATAATTGATCTTGTTTATACATATGTGAACATACATACACAAGCATGCTCACTAAAATGTTCATGCTAGTGAACTATGGCTGAAGGGCCCAGGGAGTTTTGCTTTCTAACTTATGTTACTTGAATTTTTAAAAATAATAAACACGCATTTTTGTAAACTGACAAAAATTAAATAAGTAAGATTAAACATACATTGAAAAACTAAAACCAACTCAAACCACAGATGCAAATGGAGGCCAGTGGTAGAGCATTTGCCTTGTGTATGTAAGGTCCTGGATTCAATCCCCAGCACTGCCCAAAATTAAAAAAAAATAATGTGACAAAACAATGAACTGATCTTAGTTGCACACTTAATGTCACCATACAGAAAGATCAAGCACAGATGTTGAAACAAAGGGTTTAGTATAATCTTAAATATTCCCTACTCATCTAAAGCCAGAGAGAGATGTCATGAACTGATCATGCAAATCTCCTCGAAAGGCTGAAGAGATGGCTCTGTAGGTAAAGGCATTGGCCGAAAAGCCTGCTGCTGATGGACTCAGTGTATCCCAGGGTCCCACATGGTGGGAAAAAAGAGAACTGATTCTGGAAAGTTGTCCTCTGACTTCCAATATGAGCAGTGGCATCTCCCTTCCCCCAATAACTAGATGTAATAAAGAATACATCCTAATTTTATCAATAAAATGTAAGCTTTTTTTTTTTAGTGTACTGGATGGTTTTGTGTGTCAATTTGACACATTAGGGTCATCAGAGGAAGGAGCCTCAGTTGAAGAAATGACTCAACAAGATCCAGTTAGTTGTAAGGCATTTTCTCATTTAGTGATCAAAGGTGGAGGACTCAGTCCATGGTGGGTGATGCCATCCCTAGGCTGCTGGTTCTGGGTTCTATAAGAAAGAAGGCTGAGCAAGGCAGGGGAAGCAAGCTAGTAAGCAGCTCCTCTCCATGGCCTCTGCATCAGCTCCTACCTCCGGGATCCTGCCCTGTTTGAGTTCCTGTCCTGATGTCCTTCAGTAAATGAACGTAGTGTTGAAGTGTAAAGCAAATAAACCGTTTCCTCCCCAACTTGTTTTTTGGTTATATTGCTTCATCCCAGCAACAGAAACCCTAAGACATAGAGTCTCTCTCATCATTAGTTAATCTTCAGTCTGATCACACTACTAACATCAAAGCACATAGAAGGAGCACCTGTAACTTACATTTTTATGATTGACACACTTTAAGAGGACAAGTTCACGATAGGCTCTCTTTGCATGCGTTTGGTTCTGGAAAGGACGGCTTAACTTCTTGACAGCAACATTTATCCCAAGAACTGTATCAAAAGCAGCACTATAATTAGGAAATATAATAAACAATCTATTAAAATGGCCTTTGAAAATAGCAATGGAGAATATACATTCAATGTATTATCTTTCAAAGCAAATAATAGACAAGGAGAAATATTTCTGTTCTTCCCCAATCAAGCTTTATGTACTTATGGAAAGTGAAGTGGCTGAGCCAGCAGGAGAGACTAACCCCCACCTCACCCTGACACTACCCCCCACAAGGCACCATGACTTTCAGCTACAGTTCCAGTAGGATTTAGCAATTCTTTGTACATTGAATTTTCAGTTACTAAGATCAGCAGGTTCAGAAACAGTTAATTTAATCCAAAGCATGTAACACAAGTCAAGGAATGAAATTTTCAGTTTAAAGACGTCAAGAAATTGAAAACTTCCCTGTTATCACTGATTAAAATGCCAGTATATTTTGGAGTATCACTGCAGATTCTGTGGTTGAGCTCATGGAAGGAATTTAATAAATCTAAGTTTTGACCGTTTATGCTTTCCCAGGCCAAAGAATCTAAAAAGAAACAGTAGCCCAAGTCTCAGCTCATGGTAAATTCCCAAGACACAAAGTCCCAATGTAAGCACTTGCTATATATAAAATTCTGCAGGAAATGCTGCCTCCTTTTATAGTAAGAGGAAAACCTAAAGCTCCACTTTCCAGTTCTCACATCCCTTCATGGAATTTAGTGTTAATTTTTCTCCAGAAATTGAATGCAGAAAAGTGAGTGGCATGATGACACATCTTCAGGTTTCAGGCCAGCAGTACTCAGTGTCATCAGTGAGAGGCCTTCTGATGGCTCAACAGGGGCTC